TTGGCCCACTTTTTAGTATGTTGTTTTCTTGTTGAAATGTTGAGGATTTCTTTAAATGGTAGAGATCAGTCTCTTGTCTGATGTTCTTGGATGTTTTGTTCCAATCTGTGGCTTCTTTTGGCTTTAGTTGAAATTAATTTTTTGGAGGCCTCAGTCATGCATTTGTATTGTTTGTGTTTTTCATCTTATTTCATTGTATATTTGTGCCATATATTAGGGCCTTAATTTTGTTCCTGTTTTTTTTCATGGATGATTTTCAAATTTCTAGGCTTCATATTTAGGTCTTTGATCCATCTTGAGTTTGTTTATATATATAGTTTGAGATATAGCTCCTGTTAATTAATTCTTCTGTTAATGGATCTCCAGTGTTGCCAGGACATTTGTTAGACTATCTCTTCTCTAGTAATGGCTTATGGCCCTTTGTCGAAAGGCCAGTTGGTCTCAGGTGGATGGATTTACTTCTGGGTTCTCAGTTTTGTTCATTAGTCTATGCATTAATCTTTTGTTGTGCCAGCACCACACTGTTTCGACTACTGTAACTTTGTAGTAGGTTTTGAGGTTGGGGAGTGAGAGGCCTTTTTAGTAGTGCTTTGCTTATCTGGGGTTCTGTTTTCTTTCCACATAAAGCTGGTGATTAGTTTTCCATCTTTTTAAAGTTTGTTGCTGGAATTTGGATCAGGATTGCATTGTGTATGTAGATCATTCTGGGTGGTTTTAACATTTTTGTAATTCTAAGTCTTCCTATCCATCAGTGTGGTTTATTCTTCCCTTTTTGCAGGCCTCTTTTAGTTTCTTGTAATAGTGTTCTACAGTCTTCTTTGTACAGGTCTTGTGTGTCTCTGGTTAGATTCATTTTTATATTTAATCTTTTATATTAAGATGGCATTGTTTTCCTGATTTCCTTTCAGAGCTGTCTTTGTTAAATGAATCCATATGACTTTTGTATATTGATTTTGTACCTGGCAACATTCCTGAATCTTTCAAATAGTTGCAACAATTTTCTTGCAGTCTTTGGTATATGCTATGTCTAAGATCACACCAATTGTGAGTAGAGAGTTTAATTTCTCTTTTGCCAATTTGGATGCCTTTAATTTCCCTTTGTTGCCTTATAGCTCTGGCTAAGACCAGCACAATGTTGAACAGGAGTAGTGGTAAAAGGCATCCTGTTTGGAAGGGGAATGCTTCAGTTTCTCCGGGTTGAGCACAATGTTGGCTGTTGGTTTTATATAAACCGCAACCAGATTTACTGCCATCGAGTAAATTATGACTCTTAATGACACCCCCCCACCCCCGCCAGTAGGTTTCTGAGACTGTAAGTGTTTACCGTTGTAGAAAGCCCAGTCTTTCTCCCATGGAGCTGCTGATGGTTTCGAACAGCCAATTATGTGAATCGCAGTCCAAAGTATAACCACGACCCCACTATAG